TCCCCTCCAAGTGCACAAATTTTTGTGCACCGGGCCTCTAGTATTATATAAAAAACTAGAGGCCCAATGCATGAAGGATTGTGAGAGGGATGTCTGGGATCGGGCCTAAACCAGCCGTCGGACATCCCCCAAGGGGTCCCAGATTAGAGAGGGTGCAAACTGGGCTGAGGGGACCCCCCCACCCCATGCACGAATTTCGTGCACCGGGCCTCTAGTGTTCCAATACAACTTTATGTACACATACAGGCAGCCAGCCAGCCAATGGGGCCAAAGCTCACCAACCCATCTTAGAAGAATGACTGCAAACAACCTACGATTGGACCCTTACCCTGGAAGGTTCAAGGTGTGTGATGGCCGAGTTGTGACAGTTATAGCTGGCCTCCTCCTGTCCACTAAACACATTGTAGAGCTTCAACTGCCCAGTGCAGGTGCCAAGCATCAGGAACCGCTCCCGGGCTGAGAATGCACAGCAGGTAAAGCCACTCTCATCCTCATTGGCTTCCCGGAACACTGAGATAGGACGGAACCTACGCCAAGGAAAGAGAACCAGAGACAAAGAAGGTGCAAGGACTCAGAAAAAGAAAAAAACACAGAGCTTTTACGTTTCAAATACATCACAACACATCACATGACCTTTAGTAGTTCATTTTCATTTCAAATGAGAGAAAAGGACCTCCATCCACAAGTTTAAACAATAAAGTTCCCATGTTTAAAGCCTACAACCCCGTGACCTTTACCTAAGATTTGTAAAGAACCAAGAGAGACCACTTGGACCATTACAGTAATAAGCTGGGGATCCTAGAGACAGCAGGTCCCATAGGCTCTAGAAAACATACTAGTTGTAATAAGAACACATAGTATTCAATCAATATGTTGAACAGTCACACAAGGAACCCATGGTTAACAAAAGGGAGTACAGTCACATTGCTCATCTAGTCACATAAAGCGACCATCTCTGGTATTTCAGGCCAATAAAGGGTTTTCTGGATTAATCACTGCTGATAGGGCCTCCTTACCTGCTAAAGATAAGGTGCCTATCGAAGCACCCGCCATCCACCCCGCCATACTTTGGAAACGATGCTCTGCGGTTCAGCCTTGAGGTAAAGTTTATGGGCGCCTGCCGCCTCTGTTTTGGCTCAGGACACTGGTGAGGAGTAAAGAGGGAGAAAGGTGGGCAGGTGGCAACTGGGTTCTTGCAGCGCGCATGCTGCTCTCTCAGATATTCTGTGATGATACTGTCCAGCGTAGGTGGGGAAGGAAGATGCCTGTCCAACTGCTTTTTTATGGCTGGGCTTTGGCTGTAGGCGCCATGGTCCGACTTTTGCCGCAACACTCGGATTTTCCTGCCATTGCAGGGTGATGGTCTCTCTCTGATAAAGCTGATCCGACCAATCAAAGGGGAGTTGCCCGCGTAAGACGGGCCGGGCAGAGCTAGTGAGCCCTGGGGGGGCCGTGGCTGAGGATGGGCAGTGGGGGCAGGAGGGGCAGTGGCACCCACAGCCACATGGCTGCCCAGTCGAGTTGCAATGCCGTTGGCGATGCGAGGGGTCCGGGGGAGAGAGACAGGAGAAGCAGCAGCAGCGACTGGGGTGAAGGCAGAAGAGTGGGAGGCAGCAGTCATGGGCAGGTCAGCCTCTTTTGTCAGCACAGTGGCTGTCTCCCCAAGTCCTTTAGAAATGAGATGGTTTCGTATCAACAGAAGCAGCTCTTTCTCCGGGAAGGAGATCCTTGACTGCGCAACAACATCTGCCTTCTGCAGTCGTGCCAGGGACACATCGGTGCCTATGAGAAGGGGCTTCCCCGACACCCGCTCGATGAGCTCAGCGGCATACTTGCAGAACTTGACGTGGTCACTGCGCTTGTCCTGCAGCACAGGTTCCTTCATCAGCTGCTGGATCTGGCAGCTGCTGAAAAGGGGCAGCTTGCTGATGATCTGCCGGACAGTGCTACTTCGAGACAGGCCCACCAGGGCCTTGCAGGCCAGGGCCCGGATCTGGTCTGCATCTGTGATGGGCATCTTGATGGACAGCAAGGACAAAAGCACCTTGATGCCATTGTTGGACTGGACCACATTCCACATCTTGGCCAGGGTGTGCTCGCTACTTTTGGGAGTCTGAGGCAGCTTCCTCCGAGGAGTTCCAGAGATAAACTTGCCAATACTGGAAATTCGGTTATCCGGGCCACACACACAGTTGATAATAATTTGAAGTGCTGACTTCTGAATCTCAGCATCATGGATAAAGAACTCACCCTCAGCCACTCCCAAAATAATGCTGATACCTAATAGGAAAGGGGGGAAGGAGGAAACAATACATTTTATATTCTTTCTCACAAAACTCATGGCCAACTTCAATGGTTGTTTCAGAGTTAAAACTGAAAGTTCTACTCATTTTGTTCCACTTAAAACTACCACACTTGTTTAAAAAAATGTACAAGGAATTGTTTGTGTAAAATACAATCAGTTGTACTATCATGTACCTTTATGATGCAATACCTCACGTACAATGGTTAAATGGGAGAATGATGTCAATACTTATGTGAGGGTCACTAAGGTTAATGTGCAATTTTTCCTAGGTAAGCAGATGAAAAATAGTGGGACTAAATTAAACCTTCAACAGGAAAGAAAAACCCTCAGCCTGGCTGCTCCCGTGGCAGCGGAACCTTTCTGCTATATATGAGGAAAAGTCAAAAACAAGTGGCTGTGCCCTGCACTCTCCCCAAAGAGGTGCACCCCAGGACCCACAGCTGGTTACGCTACTTCCATGCTCACTTTAGCAGCAACCCTCAGCCCTGCTCTTGATGGAGTACAGCATTCTCAAACAGTGTATAACCCTTTTGTACTGTGACAGCTTCTATCCACTCTGAGCTGCTTGCCAATCACTAATTTTATTGGGGCTTAAGTTACAAAGCTGCTTAAGTTCTTGACTATCTGCCCCAACCATGTTTCCTATGCACCTCATTCTCTGCACGTGACTCCACAGAGTACACGGTTTACACTATTACAGCAGAAATGCCTGTACCACTCAGAACACAAGTTCACTAACATGACTCCATTATATGAAGCTGTATGGCATGACTTAGATGGGACAGGCAAGGTACCCTCCCCTACTATCTTCTTACTACTTAGGTCAGTTAAGTCACCACAAACAGAATAGCAAAGGAAAACAAATCCAGACCAACCAGTAACAAAATGGCAAGGTACAACCTACCTACAGTAGAGACGGTGGAGCCAGCCTCATCTAGCACATCCACTGATTCTGCCAATTGGAGCTGGATTTTTGGCACAACAGTAAGAATAGCCAGGACATCCAAAGCAAAGCGCACAGTGTCATTCCTAGACAGGAAGAAGAATTAGTCAAAGAGAAATAGGATACAGCCACAAGAAACAACAGTTAAAAAAAGAGGGGGAGAGAGAGAGAGAGAGAATGGATCGGAATCACTACCGTGTGGCTCTGTCCCTAACCATAACATCAAGATGATTTATAAGTCACTATGACATTACTTGCAAAAAACATGGAGATGGCATTTTCACCTATCAAACTGCTAAGATTGCAAACTAAGGATAATCCCCAATGCTGGTGACAATGTAGACTACTGCTCTCAAACTTTTGTTGGGGGAGAAATTAGGACACTCTTTTTAGAAAATCTGGAAATATGAAACAAGATTCTTAAAATGTTCTTAACCTTTGGCCCAGGAATTTCACCTCTTGGAATCTGTCCTAAGGAAATAATCAGACATACAAACAAGTATTTATGTATTCAGATGTCCATTATCACATCATATAAACGAATAAGAAAAGAATTAGAAAGCCTACCTAGACAACAGGAATACATGTATTAGTTATGATACACTCAAATGATGAACTATTCTGCAGGTATTGACAACTGTTTTCAAAGAACTCTTATTAAAGGACAAGGGAAAAGGCTCGAAATTCAACATTAATGAATAGAAAACGTTAGATATAAAATCTGACAATACGAAGTACTGGCAAGAAGGTAGAGAAATAAAAACTCCATATACTGCCGATGGGACAAGACAATGATAGGTCATTTTCCAGGCCCTTTGGCAACACGGATAAAGATGAAATGCATACAAAATTGTATACATCATATCCTTTTAGCAAGCATGTCAAACTGGCGGACGGCGGGGCGGGCTGCATGCCTCATTTCACTGGCCACGAGTTTGACATACTTGCTAAAGACTCCAAAAAGAGTTTTATGGTACCACTCATTTGGAAGCAAAAAATAAAAACCCACAACAAACATTAAATGTCCATCAATCGAACAAACTGTAGATAGGAATACAAGAGTTCAAATAAATATTAACACATATAAAACTCAAAAACATGAGGAAAAAATCTGCAAAAGATGCAGAAAATATTGATATAATGTAAAAACATACAAAAGAGGACTAGATTATTGTTCATGTGCACACAAATATGTAGTATAGACACATGGATGGAGAGAACGCACTCCAAGTTCAGAAGACCGGCCATTCTGGGGAGGCAGGAAATGCAAAAGAACTCCGAGAAGCACATAGAGCAACATGCCAACCCTGGGTATGGAGCAGTCATAGCATCTCTATACCTTTCTATATTTTAAAGTATTTCATAAAAAAGATGAATATGATTAAATACTATAACCTCAATTATATACATTTTCATACATTCTAGAAAGACTGAAGAAATTAACAGTGGCTAAAAGTAATTTTCTTCTTTTATGTAAGACTATATATTCTAAGCAAAAACAAATATTTAATTTTGTTTAAAAAAACTTTTAAAGGACATATTCCAAACATATTTATATATTCTTAATAATCCATGTAAGTTTTTACCAGTCCAAAATGTATTTATAACCTTCCTCATTATCTTTTGAGCTTTCATCACCTTTTAAACAAAATTCTCAAAGTAAATATAATAACCTACTTTAATACCCCAAAACAGCTTGTTTTCAAAGTGTGGTTGGGGACCCTTTGGGGGTCTCTGAGACCCTCTCAGAAGGTTCTGTGATATGAAAGCTGTTTTCATAGTAACAGTAAGATGCTGCTTCCTGTCCCACTCTTGGTATCTCACGGAGCTATCCAGGGGCTATGTCATGTGTGATGTCACAAAAGATTAAATATAAAAACAAATATAAGAGATTAGGCCAGACATTTTAAAAACTTGCTGAAATCATTTGGTTTTATTTTGGAAATTTTTCATAAAAAATACTAACATGCAATGGATTCATATTATTTTTAAATAAATTCATAAATATATTCACATTTTCTGTTTTAATTTCTAATATGGTAAATATCACCAGATATAACACAAAACAAAAGCTCTTTGGAGTTCTCAATAATTTTTAATATGGGAAAGTGGTCCTTAGATCAGAAAGTAAGAAACTGGATGCTCCAAAAGTATCCCCTGGATTTAATATCCTGGGATTTAGCAAACAAACTATATGCACCATAAATAGCCTCTCTGGTCTTTATGGCAATGGATGGATGGGAAAGTCAAGAGCTGTAGCTGGTTTGGCTCAGTGGATAGAGCATCGTCCTGGGAACTGAAGGGTCCCAGGTTCGATTCCAGTCTAGGGCACATGCCTGGGTTGTGGGCTCGATCCCCAGTTGGGGGTGGGGTGGGAGGGTGCAGGAGGCAGCCGATCAATGATTCTCCCTCTCCCTTCCTCTCTGAAATCAATAAAAATATATTTTTAAAAGAACCACTATATATAAAAACTTTATTGTATTTTCTCTTCAGACTCCATCTTTACCAAAATATCGTTTTAATCCCTTTTCCATCCTCATCCTATAAAACCCACCCACCCTCCTGATTCAATCAGCGGTCCTCTCAGAGCTTCATCCTGCTCTGCTGGCTGCTTTTAACTGAACTGTGAAAATCACATCAAAAGCAAAAAATACACTTTCATGTGAAGATAAGAGAAACATTCTATATGACTGTCAAGCAGCAGAGACATCTAAAGTCTAATACCAAAGAACACTGGACCCCAGTCTCAGACAGGATTTCCACCCTACCTCTGCGCTATCGCCATGTAAATTATGTAACTCTCAGAGTACAGAAGTTGACCCCTGCCTGTGTGCAGTATTTATAATCACCAGGACCATAAATATAAATGAATAGTCTGTAAATTAATAAAGGTATCATCATGCTTAATCTAGTTTCTCAGCTTTGAGCCCAAAATTTCAATTCTGTTCACCAAATATTTGTTAAGCATCAAATACTATGTCATGTGTGATGTCACAAAAGATTAAATATAAAAACAAATATATTTTGGTATTGAGTGTAAGTCGAATTTAAATAGTTATCTTAAATGTAGGTTGTGAAACCATCATCAACCTCAGCAGAAAGCAGAAGCTAATCTCCTTGGAAACCTCCCTCTGGTCCCACCTGGCATAATAGGTCTTCCAATTGCAGGCAATAGAGATAAGCTGCAACAAGAGCTGGACACAAGAAAGTTTGAGGAAGACTTCAGCAGGTTCCCAGTAGAGCTGCGCTGGGCCATATTCTATCAAAAACTCCATCATTTCCACAATCTGTTCATGAGTATACGAACACGCCTATAAGGAGAGAGACATATTAGTAAAGAACTCTATCATCTGCCTGCTACCTTCTCCAGCGAAGCTCAATGGCCAACAGGTTTTAACAATAAAGCTAAGTAATAATAACTTTCAATTTCCACAATCCTTCCGTCTATAGGCCACATGTGAAAAAATGAATGTTTAACCTTTCATTTATAACTGGACTCATGGTACATTTTGTCCAAAAAGGTAACAGAAGGTTCAGTTTGTTAGTGCATGCATCTATTTCCCAGCTTAAGAAGAAAAAAAAGCAGCATGTAAAATAATGGGTTTCTTTTCAACTTGTGATTTTTAAAACATGCAAATACTAATCTTCATCCCAAAACATAGCAAGTCCAAAAATGATTGAGAAATGAAGTTATAAATGCACCTTTCAGAAATTTCACATAGGAAGTAGGACATGTACTACTTTTCATAAAAGACCGCCCTTTTACACACACTTCAGTTCATGAGTATCCCAGAGAAGTAGCAACTCACAACTGGGAATAAAATGCATCCTTGAAATCCACCTGCTGCATCCATTTTCAGGTAATCTGCCTCCACAAGGGACAAGCATAATACAACAATACCCATTCTGCAGACTCCACTGATGTGAATGTGAGTTTCAGGCCCACAAGTGGTACAGAGCATTAACAGCTCCTTTCAAGTAAGGCCCTCTCACCTTGTACGGGGGCTGCGGATGCACAAGAATGCCACCCTCAGTCCTCTGAAGTGACTGCTTCACTTGTTCCAATTTAATGGCCAGGTGAGCCTCAAAGTACTTGCGCAAGGCCATGCAGGTATGTTTCCCAGTTTGGCGGCTAGCAAATATTTCATCATCACTCAGAAGTGCACCCTGATCTTCCAAATTTAGAATCTCCAAAGTACTGATCTATTAAGAAAGAAGCAAAAGAATTAGACAAAGGCGGGGGGGGGGGGGGGTGGTAAATGGGAGGAGACAACCAATAGGAAGAAAAAAGGGAAAAGATTTCAGTAAACTTTTATGTTCAACGAGACTGCCAATTAACACTGCACATCTTTCCATACATGCTAAGAATGGCCATATGAAAGCAAAACAGTAAACCCATATTGAAAGATTACATAGCCTTCAATCCTGTTTAAAAACATACAGGCACAAAACCTTTTGCTTTTAGAAAGATCGAGATTATTGACTGCAATTTCCCCTGTAAGATTACTAAATTCAAGACATGTCTGTAATGGCACAGAGTCCTCTAAACACTTAAGAGGAAGAAAAACTTGTGACTGAAGGGAGAAAAACAGATAGCAAACTTCCTCCAGTAAGCCTCCTCTCACTGCAGGGCAGCCAAGACCAGCAGGACCCCTACTTCTTGCAAAGAGAAACCACTGAAGAACCTCACCAAGTTCACCAGTCGACGAAGACCGTCATAGCGGTCAAAGAGCTCCAACACGGCCCGGAAGGAGAAACAGATTGAGAAAAACATGGTAGCATGGCAGCATCCTGAGGCATGAGAACATTCCATTAACCACAGGGTATAGTTCACCACATCAGACAGAACATTGTGGGGATGCATGCAAACCTGAAAAATATAAAAATAAAACAATTTTTAAATTTTGAGGGTAAAAGAACCTTTGCAAAAAGATGAAAAATTCACCAGTGTCAATAGACACTTCTGCACAATACAATGATCATTCCTGGTCAAGTCATTCTGAGTTTAAAGCTTAAGTTACAAATGAAATTTTGTAAAAATCTAGTCCAAACCTGAAAACAACCTACATTTAAGATAACTATTTAAATTCGACTTACACTCACTAGCAAATTTTGCAAATATGTCCATCCTTTAATGTTCACAATGCTCTGTTACACAGGTATTAGGATTCCCACTTAACAGATGAGGAAGAGGCTCAGAGAGTAAGGGACTGTCCCCGGGTGTAAAAGCGGCCGAGCCTTCTGCTCCTAAAGTCTACAGGTGGAGCAGCCATTCGCTCTCTGGCTCATTCACACACATTCTGTGGGGCAGACAAGGATGTCTAAAGCAGGGATCCTCAAACTACGGCCCGCGGGCCACATGCAAATACAAATGTTGTATTTGTTCCCGTTTTGTTTTCTTACTTCAAAATAAGATATGTGCAGTGTGCATAGGAATTTGTTCATAGTTTTTTTTTAAACTATAATCCGGACCTCCAACGGCCTGAGGGACAGTGAACTGGCCCCCTGTTTAAAAAGTTTGAGGACCCCTGTTCTAAAGCATTGCCCAGGTTTGCTTGGTACTTTCTCTCTATCTTAGCCATAATTGCTTTCTATATATGCACACATATTAGGTTACTATTCTTAAAAGACTACATACCCTTGCATAATGTTGATCTCAAGAGGAAAAAACATTAAAATCAAAACATTGCCTTATTAATACACATGCAAAGATGAACAAAGACATAGGCCCAAAAGAATTTACCAACTTCACTCTACCAAAAAAGCCACATCACATGAAATATTAAAAAAATGTTCCAGGTATAGAAATAAGATTCCCCCAGGGGTGTCTGGGGACCCATTACTTTTAAATGTACAATCTACCGATCTACTTACACCTTTTAATATATATATAATTGATTTCAGAGAGGAAGAGATAGAAACATCAATGATGAGAAAGAATCATCGATTGGCTGCCTCTTCACACCCCCTACTGGGGACTGAGCCTGCAACCTGGGCATGTGCCCTAACTAGAATCAAATCTACTGGTTTATACTAGTAGGTTGGCGCTCAAACAGTGAACAACACTGGTCAGGCAGCTTACACATTTTTAAAATCAGTAAATAAAAAGTCTGAACTGGAAAAACATAAGAACTAGACTGGGAGCCTGTGGAGCCCTGAGAACAACTAAAATGATTTTACTATCTTCACCACAAACTATTTGTTAACACACACAAAGCACCACCTGTTGTTTTAAAAATAAATTGACTAAAAAATGCAAAACAGCCCTAACTGGTTTGGCTCAGTGGATAGAGCGTCGGCCTGTGGACTTAAGGGTCCCAGGTTCGATTCCGGTCAAGGGCATGTACCTTGGTTGCGGGCACATCCCCAGTAGGAGGTGTGCAGGAGGCAGCTGATCAATGTTTCTTTCTCATCGATGTTTCTAACTATCCCTCTCCCTTCCTCTCTGTAAAAAATCAATAAAATATATTTTTTTTAAATGCAAAATATACCACCACTGAGGGACATCTTAAAAGAGCTTCAAGACTAATCTTAATGCAACAGAAATGGCAAAAACTAAATAAAACCCCAATCCATCTTGCTTCCACCCCCCCACCCCCCCCATAGATTTAGGGGGGAAAGGGATTTTTCCTAAACAATTTTATATTTTTAGAAATCTTTGTAAAGACATTCAGGCTCCTTGCTTCTTTCACTAAAATTTACTCCAGCCCTGGCATGTGTGACTCAGTTGGATGGGCATTGTCCTGTGCATTAAAATGTCACTGGTTCGATCCCTGGTCAGGGCACATACAGGAAGCAATCAATGAATGCATAAATAAGTGGAACAATTAGTCACATGTCTGTCTGTCTCTCTCTCTCTCTCTCTCTCTCTCTCTCTCTCTCTCTCTGCTCTAACAATAAATAATTTTTTTTTAAATTTACTCCAGAGGGGTGGAGGTGGACTGGGAGAGGTCAATGAGGGGAAGAGGAGACCTATGTAATACTATATGTAATCCTTTAAACAATAATTTTTTAAAAAATTTTACTCCGCCCCAACCAGTTTGGCTCAGTGGATAGAGCGTCGGCCTGCGGACTGAAAGGTCCCAGGTTCGATTCTGGTCAAGGGCATGTACCTTGGCTGCGGGCACATCCCCAGGAGGGGGTGTGCAGGAGGCAGCTGATGGATGTTTCTCTCTCATCGATGTTTCTAACTCTATCCCTCTCCCTTCCTCTCTGTAAAAAATCAATAAAATATATATTTTTTTTAAAAATTTTACTCCTTTTTTTTTTTCTTATCCAAAAGTTTTTCTATAAATATGCTAGGTTGTCCCCCCCACCCATCCCATTCCCATATACCTGAATGACTGGACTTACTCTTTCCATGGCATCCTGGTTGTAGGACAGGTAATACAAGCACATGGATACACCAGTTGCAGCCATAGAGGGGCGAGGAATTTCCAGTAATTTCTGTACTCCACCATGTGCAACAAATTCTGTGGCAAACTTGTTATGGAGCAGGAGAGATGCTAGGTGCTAAACAAAGGCGACACATGTTACCATAGAACTATCTAGAACAGCAATTTTCAACCCGTGTGCCACAAGAATTTTTAAGACATGCAATACCTGACTATTTAGCCAGGGACACTGACCTCTTTTCCTTTAAATTACCAAATAAAGAAATGACAACAGCCAACAGAACAGCAGCCATCTGATGTGAATGAATCAAAATTATACCTATTTTTTTGGTCAGATCAGCAAAAAATACATTTTTTTGGTGTGCCACATAATTCCATTAATTAGTTTATGAGTGCCATGAGATGAAAAAGATTGAAAATCTCTGATCTAGAAAAATCACATGATCAATTCCAAAATATTAAATTAAGCTGCTAAATACAGGGAATCCTCTTAACAGAAATAAAACAAATAGTGCTTACGAAAAACAAATAAAAAAACACTCTGAGATTCCATTTTTGTCTTGTCATTTCATTTACACTGATCCTAAATATATTCTCCAAAGAACAATCTTCAGCAAATTATCAAAACTAGTAAATTTTTAGAACTAACCAAAATGCACTTTAAATACACTTTTAAAGTTTATCTTAACTTTTGTTAACTCCCTATTCAATTCCCACTAGCCTCTCTGGGTAGACCCTATCTTCTCGGCAATTGTAAGGGCAGGGAGTGCAATGCAAGCAGCAGGCTGCTTAATGGCTCTGAATCCAGGCCGATGAGGAGGGGCCTTGGAAGAGCTAGAGCACCCTCTCCCGTTTCTCATTCCAACATGTCTTCTGGGTGGTGACACAGGCACAAGAAACAGATAAAACAACACAGATTTACAGTTACATGAATTGTTACCTGTGCAGATCTCCCCAAAGTCAGTAGCAAAAACAACAGATATGTGCCCTGTTCAGAAGTTCTCCCAACACCCAGACTCAGACTTATAGTATTCAAATCCCTTCCTCTATACTCATTTTTTTGTGTTACACAAACCTCTACCACACTCCCACCTCAAAAAGCAGCCATACCAGGTATTGTTCCCCTCTAACACTTAGGCCACTGCGTGTGGTTTTTCTCAGGTCACTACCACAAAGAGGTACCTGGTAAGAGTCATCTCTTCTACCTAAACAAGAACTTTTTGTTTGTTCTTATTTTGATATTTCTGGCAAGAGAAAGCCCTGAGCAATAAAAACCCAAAGATGCTATTGATTTTTGTTTATATACCAAAACACATAGGCACATCCATGTCGATAAAATGTTCAGTCACCAAATATTGGTAAGAACTTTACCTTGAGTGCCTCAAACGTCAGCAGAACGTCGTTAGTCTGCTTCAGGTCAATATAGAACATCATCAACTCCCGGGACCCAAGCTGCATGAATATGGGGAGTAACTGAAATGAAGACCAAGAACAAGTCTTAACATTTGGTTTTATTTCCACCTATTTCCTCTTCCATTTTGAGGTTAGAAGAAATAAGGCACTTCTTCCCTCCCTCCTTTATGAAGATAAACATACCAGCACACTTTGATCAAACAGGCCTTATCAGAAGTAACCTGTATAACAGTTTGCCAGTTTGGGGCAAAGACTTTTTTGTATTAGAGTAAAAACACATCATTGTAGAAATGTTACCATAAAATATCACAGAAATAAGCACAGTAACTCCAAAGGGGGAACATACTATTTCCAATAAGCTTACCTCCTGGTATTCTCCTAGAGGAGTCAAATACTGGAGAATAAGTCGCTGTTCAATAGCAGGAGTCATAGGATAAAGGGTGTAATTGGTGCCAATCACCCACGGGGACATTTCTGACCAGCTGCTATTAGACAGCTCAACAAACATGCGATCTGGTTCCGATGATGAGAAACCCAACTTCTGCTTGGCTTTCCGAAAGCTCTCTCTGTCACCCTGCTTCGCTGACTTGTTTTTCCTCAGTCCTCCTTCCTCAGGTTTTGTTGCTGAGTTCATTCTGCTACTGGTCTTGTGGCCTGAATCAAGATGAAAGGAGATCTCCATGTCTCCAGAGGCTTCCTCTTGTTCACCATCCACTACATCTACGGCCATGTCACCATAGTCCATATCCACCGCTTCTTCATCCAGAGGCAAAAGGGGTTCAGAGGAGAGCTTTCGGGGGCTGGGACGCTTGCTTTCTTGCCGCAAAGCCATTTCCTGAAGCTGTAGCTCCCGAAGTCTTCGAAGCACAATTGCTACCTATCAATAGATATTGGAATAAGCAGGATTGTCTCTTCTGCATCATAATTTAAATGATTCTCAACAAATATTTATTCTCACTTACAGAGAACTAGATACTGATGCACTTATCCCAATGCCTGGTAACAGTAAAGATTTAATAAATATGTTGACTTTATTCCTACAGTTTGATAAAATAAGCAACAGCTAACAGTCTAATTCCCCATAAAATTTCTCAGAGAACTCAAACCACAAGACCTGCACATAAACTACATCATTCACAACTGACCTCTCAGGATCAAGATGAACTGAATGGACCAACACACCTAAAAGAGGCAGACACTAAGATGTACAGTACTTACAATCTTTTAAGTGTCTTTGAAAAGTAAATGTGGTTTCTCAAACTTGTATCTGCTCTAAGTTATAGAAATGGCCATCTACATTATATGTGGTTACATAATCTGTTTTTCAAGTTCATCATTTATTTTTTATTTTTACTTTTAAGTATTTATTTTTGGAGCCAATCCTAAAATGTGGTATTGTGCTTAGTTTTAAAAAGAGAGAGGGCCCTAGTCGGTTTGGCTCTGTGGATAGAGCACTGGCCTGCGGACTGAAGGGTCCTGGGTTCGATTCCGGTCAAGGGCACATGCCCAGGCTGTGGGCTTGATTAGGAGGCAGCCGATCAATGATTCTCTCTCATCATTGATGTTTCTATCTCTCTCTCCCTCTCCCTTCCCCTCTGAAATCAATAAAAATATGTTTAAAAAAAAAAAAAAGAGGGATTATGCCGGCAGTTTAGTTTGAACTGCATTTAAAAAAAGAATAATGGATGAATATGTAATAAAATAAGTATAGTAAAATATTCACAATTTAAGTGGTATATATACATCTGTTCACTGTAAAATTCTTTCAATCTTTCAATTTCGTCCTATGTTTTAAAATTTTCATAACCCACTGTTAGGGAGGAAAGGAAATGGTACTATTTTTAATTTGGTATATTAACTATCATGATCCTTGACAAGATGAAAAACAGCATTTCCAAGTTAAAAAAAAAAGTAAAATCAAAACTCTTATGAAAAGTAATCTGAAAATACTGAAATTACAGGAACACTCCAGTATAAGGTAATAAGATCTACCTATTCAAGTTTAAGTAGCAAGAAAAAACTTGATTATTCTCCCATCTTATACAAAAATTCATTTTAATATAGTCCTTACCAGCTGTGAATTTTCATCCCTATAGTTGGCAGCAATGTCCTGATTTTCCATGGCGCCTCCTAACAGTCCAGTAGAATACGTCCTCAATGGCTGATCAGCCTCTCGGGCCCATTTAAAAAGATTTTCGACAATTCCTTCCTATAATAAGGAAATGAAAAAGTACAATTCAGAAAAAAACTATTTCCTTTTCTTTTTAAAAAAATATATTTTTATTGATTTCAGAGAGGAAGGGAGAGAGATGAAAACATCAATGATGAAAGAGAATCATTGATCAGCTGCCTCTTGCACACCCCACACTGGGGATCGAGCCTGCAGAAAAAAACTATTTTCATAATTAAAGATACAAGAAAGATCTCAGTCTTATGAAAAAAAATTAATATTTTCATGTTGGTCATAAAATTTAAAAATGCAAATAAACTAAGTGTCTAATAGTAGATGGTTTCAGTTAAATATCTATGCACCTGTGAAATACAATCCTATTTAGATGTTAAAACTCAAGCTAAAAATCAACAGCCACATAATACAGACCTACTTCAGATGTTAAAACCACAAAGGTTCCATGACCAAGTGGGGAGCAATAAAATTTTTACATCCCTCTTGAAGTTTACAATGCACATTTAACATTATTAATGCTGAGAAGTCCTGCCCAGCAGGCATAGCTCAGTGGTTGAGCTTCGACCTATGAACCAGGAAGTCACGGTTCGATTCCTGGTCAGGGCACATGCCCGGGCTGTGGGCTCAATCCCCAGTAAGGGACATGCAGAACATAGCTGATCAATGATTATCTCTCATTATTGATGTTTCTATCACTCTCCCTCTCCCTTCCTCTCTTTGAAATTAATAAAAATATATATTTTTAAAAAGAAATAAAGATGGGAGTGAAGATAAATAAAATAGTGAATACAGAAAATGAATGAAACCAAAAGTTCTTTGAAAAGACCCATAAAATTGACAAATCTTTAGTTAGACTGACCAAGAAAAAGAGAGAAGACTCAAATTATTGGAATCAAAAATAAAAGATGAGCCCTAGCTGGTTTGGCTCAGTGGACAGAGCATCAGCCTGCGGACTGAAGGGTCCTGGGTTCAATTCTGGTCAAGGGCACATGCCCGGGTTGCAGGCTGGATCCCCAGTAGGGGGCGTGCAGAAGGCAGCTGATAAATGATTCTCTCTCATTATTGATGTTTCTATCTCTCTCCCTCTTCCTTCCTCTCTAAAATCAATAAAAATATATTAAAAATAATAAAAAAATAAAAGATGAGACATTACTATCAATTTTACAGAAATAAAAGGAATAAGAAAATACTATGAAATCACATTAAAAATATTTTGACAAGGATATAAAATTTTTTTTTTGTCTCCTGCAGTGGTAGCTAATTGAAGATTTTAATATACAATACTGCAAATTACAGCAATAATTACAATGTTATTCTCTGAAATACTTTTTGTGGCACCCAAGCAGCAAGTACTCATTAAAATAATTACTTTTTAAATTTTTCTTGCCTGGCCAGTGTAGTTCAGGGGTTGAGTGTCGACCTATGAATCAGGAGGTGACTGACTGACTGTTTGATTCCCAGTCAGAGCACATGCCCAGGTTGCAGGCTCAATCCCCCGTAGAGGGTATACAGGAGGCAGCCAATCAGTGATTCTCTCTCATCATTGATGTTTTTATCTCTTTCTCCCTCTCCCTTCCTCTCTGAAATCAATAAAATATATGTTAAAGGAAAAAATAAATAACTTTTCCTTACTATATTGATTTCTTCCATTTCTTTAACATATATTACTATTATAATAAGAAAAAACTGTAACAATTATTTTAACAAAGGCAAATCAACCTATCACTACTCAATTACAAAGTAAGGTGGTATTTCCTTTTCATAAATACCTTTTCTTGAAAAACAACAGCAGTTTCCAGCCCTGGCATGATATCCAGTAGAAGTCTGCAAGCTGCAGTATTTAAAGGGGGCTCTCGGCTTGTCATCACATATGCATTCACCAGCTGTAAAGAAAAGAAGCAATAGTTTTTATTTTTTATAGTCCTCACACAAGGATATGTTTATTGATTTTAGAGAGAGGAAGGAGGAAAGGGAGGAAGGAAGAGAGGGAGGGAAAGAGAGACAGAGAGAGAAATATACAAAAGAGAACAATCAATGTTGCCTCCCGTACGAGCCCTGTCCGGGGATGGAGCCCACAATCTAGGTATGTGCCCTGACCAGGAACTGAACCCACAACCTTTGGTGCATGGGATGACACTCCAACCAACCAAGCTACCCGTCCAGGACAGGAAAGGAATATGTTTTGTCTAAAATTCAACCCAGTCAAATTAATAAAGCCTAACAAATCCTTAATATACTCTTATCACTTGCCTACAAGGTATTAAAGAAGACCGTACCTAACAATTACTAATTAAACCTTTAATTATTATTTTTAAATATGTATTTATTGATTTTTATTTGTTTTAATATATTTTTATTAATTTCAGAGAGGAAGGGAAAGGGATAAGATAGAAACATCGATGAGAGAAAAATATCATCCATCAGCCTCCTGCATGCCCCCTACTGGGGATCGAGCCCATAACCCGGGCATGTACCCTGACTGGGAATGAAACCTTGACCTCCTGGTTCATAGTTCAAAGCTTAGCCACTGAGCTGCTCCAGCTGGCTGTCTCCAATTGGGGCCAGAGATGGAACCCAGGTATGACGAGCCACACCGGCTAGGCAAACCTTTAATTACTATAGTTATGAACCCACTGAGCCATGACATCATATGTAATCTCTTCTGCAGCTTTACAATCAAATTCCCCCAAAACAACTCAGTAACCATAGGGGCTACTGAAGTAACCAAGTGAGAGATGGTAGTGGCTAAACCTAGGTCTGGCAATAAGGGCAGAAAGAAGTGGAGAAACTTGTGAAGGCTAAGGAGGAGGAATGATAAGACCACTGAATTAGAGAGTTTGGAGGAATAAAAGGTAACTTCTAGCTGGCTAGACAAGGACACATTACTGAGCTAGAGAACAAGAGAAACAGATTGTGAACCAAACAATTAGACGCGTGGAATTCAAGGTGTCCGTGGGGGATATCCAAGTGGAACTGTCTAGAAAGCAGCTGGAAGTGATCTGAAGCTGAGAAGATACATTGATAATAGAAAAATAAATTGGGAAGTTAATACAATTTATATATATAAAAGCCCAGCAACCATTAGGGCAGAAGACCGGAATGACCAGAATGACCGGTTGCTATGACGTGCACTGACCACCAGGGGGCAGATGCTCAACACAGGAGCTGCCCCCTGGTGGTCAGTGTGCTCCCACAGCGGGAGCACCACTCAGCCAGAAGCCTCTCCCACCTCTGTGGCAGCGCTAAGGAGCGGTAAGGCGGGAGCAGGCGGGCAGTTAGGAGCGAGGGGTCCCAGATTGCAAGAGGGCACAGGCCAGGCTGAAGGACACCCCCCCCCCCACAACCCTGTGCACAAATTTTGTGCATCAGGACTCTAGTATAGATAATAATAGCTAATACTTACTGAGCTCTCATGAACCAAGTTCTGTGCTAAATACTTTTCATGCTTAATTTCATTCAAGGATTACAAAAACCTTTTACGGTAAGAACTATCAACCCCTATCTTACAGATCAGGAAAATAAAGCCTGGAGAAGCTTAAGTTGCCTAAAGATCAGTCAATGATGGAGATGCATTAAACTCAAAACATGTCTCCTCCCCACCAGACAAAGCCCATGTTCTCAAGCATCATGCCATTCTGCCTCCAAAAACAGCCACAGTTATTGGACAATGACTATGTCTAGGAGCTGTGAGGGAGATGTGTATGTGTGTATTTCCCCTCCCATTTACTCCTCAACAGTCCTGAGTTAGAGAAGGCACCTTTCTCTCCATCGACATTCCCAATGAACACAATGCAGTGTCAATGCAGAATCATGCCGCATACATCAGTCTTATTTTTCTACTGAGGAACCCAAGAGGACTCCTATATTCCCAAACTCAAAATCATCTTGTCCAAAGATAAACACAGGTGCCTTGGGAGCTCTCACCAATATTCAACTGAACAAAGTACACACCTTGAGAAAATACCTGGGACTTTGGTAAGGATGAGGCCATGATTACTCTCATTTCACCAAATTAAAAACCTATCCACTCTATTCCCACCTTTGTCAAGGCCTCAGGAGAAAGTAAACTATTTAGAAAAACAACAATAACATACAGCATCTACTGATGATAATCTGGAGAAAAGTAAGAAGCAAACCTACCGCATTCATGAAATCATCATTCTTGAAGAGTATTCTCAGCAGATGGCCCAGCATACACTCTGGATCAGCTCGACCTACCAAAAGAAGAGGGGGAACAAAGGAACAAGTAAGCCATCCCCATCAAGCAACTTAGACCTCTGTAACGGCACCCTGGTTGTTATAAATACTATTAAAATACCAAACAAAAAGAAATAGAAACAAGAAAAGATTCTTTGATAAATTAGATTTCTTAAAAGTGACAATATAAAAACTCACCGTCCCATCTCCCAGGCTATTGCCTACATAGCAATGCTGAATGAAATGAGCACTAGACCCAGGCCAGCAATGTGAACTGTATACAAGATGTACAAATGTATACAAAATGTATATATAAGAATCAGAAAGGAACCTACAACAAGAAAACCCCTGACTTCCCAGCCTCAGAAAGGTAGCAACACTTCTTTTGATGGGTGGCCTGGGACAGACAGGCTTCAAGTCCAGTCCCCCTTTCAACTACAAGGCCAACAGCAGCAGGGATGGTCCTCAAAA